TGAAGCTTTCTGCCAGGAGAGATTGATCGGTAGGTCGCCTGCAGTAGTCGCCCAGCACGTGGTGCTTCCGGTCAATGTAATCCCCGCTATACCCAGGGTCGATGCATGCGCAGGCGGCACTAGCACACCTAGAGGGCATGGCGTTAGTTGAGCTGAGCCCGACACTGCCTTCATTTGGCATGCTGCCTGAGATCGTGGAGATTCACGTGCACTACAGCGGCGTTTTTGTTTTCCATCCATCAATTCCTATAAAGGACATTTTGTTTTTCGCAGGTGTTTTATAATTTTGCAATACGTTAGGTTTGTTTATCTTGGGTTGTCGGTGTGGTTTTATGGGAAGTTTGCAGCGAGCACTGGTTTGCTTCGTGGGTTTGGCCTTCACTGCATGCGCAGGTGTCAGCATTGAGTGCTTGGACGAGTTTTTTGCCATTGACATCAGCGTTCCAGCCTTTGCGGCCCGGGACGCTGACTCGCACGGAGCAGGCAGCCCTGCGAAACCGTCCACGCTGGAGAGTGCGATGCAACTTCTTCACTTGATCTTTACTGCCTTTCATTTTGAAGAATCGGCTTTTCGCCGAGCGAAGCAACGAGCCCTCATGGACTACCATGCATACACTCGAGACCTTGTGGTACGGTATTCTTCTCAGCGTGGGTTCACTCTTATGTGCTGGGGGCCACTTGAAAAGCCGTGGAATAGTTGAGTACCGAGTGTCGGGAACATTCCTGTGCCATGAAGAGCACATTGCGGTTATGCGGATATTCACAGGGATATTCTCTGGGNGTCGGGAACATTCCTGTGCCATGAAGAGCACATTGCGGTTATGCGGATATTCACAGGGATATTCTCTGGGAGAGCTGATTCTGAACATGACCGGGCGCGATCCGCGTTTTGACTCGTTGAAGCCCGCAGTGACTGCAGGATTGGAGCTTCCATTTGTGGAGCAGCAGATGCGTTCCCACTTCGAGCGACAACTGGCCCGCGGAGCAATTGAAGTTACGGTCGTAGGGGACATCGACCCGGCGCATGTCGCAAGGCTGGCGGCGACGTACATAGGCACGATTGGGCATCCAAACACGAGCAGAGGACTCCTGGAGGGGGTTTTCCCCGTGTCACCCGGCCAGCGGCCCCTGCAATCTCCCTACTACCACCTCCAGGAGACCTCAACGGGCGCGATGACGCAAGATTGGAATCCATCATCTGATACAGCGGAAGCGCCTTCGGCTGGCCATTGGACAAAAACCTGGGGGAGGCGGCTGCATGCCTACGTGCGGGACAGCGAGGCGCGAGCTGTGGTGCACATTGGAGGTTTTGCGTGTAATCGTTGGGGCAGGAACCCCAACGGCTCGTGGTTATGGGACCATATGGAGGCCCTACAGCGCAGGGACGATGCTATTGCTGACCAAATAGAGGGTAAAACGGCCGAAACGGAGCAGTACGGGACAGTCAGTGAGCATCGAAAACACCCAGCGTTCCCTCGAGTGGCCCTGTGGATTCTGCAAGAGCTCGTTACTAAGCGCCTTTTCTCGATTTTGCGAGAAGNTTCCCTCGAGTGGCCCTGTGGATTCTGCAAGAGCTCGTTACTAAGCGCCTTTTCTCGATTTTGCGAGAAGAACAGCGGTTAACATACGAAGCGGCTTTTGACGTCATGTCCTTTGACATTCTTTGGGGCGGAATCTTCATTATTACGGTTCACACGCAGCCAGAAGAGGCAGAACGCGTCCTAGAGGCGACGCATATAGCGCTGCAACAGCTGACAAGCATTAGACCTCTGCTGCAATCCCAGCTAGACAGCGCAAAGCAGCAGGTACTCAGCCGCCACCTGCACGACCGCAAGTACGCGCGCTACTGGCTCGACCTCCTGGGGGGCCTACAGCTGGCCGATGTAAGTTAGAACGCCTGCAACTGACGACGGACGCATACACCCAGGAACGGCAGGCGTGCCAGTGCCAGTGCGTACATACATTGCCACTGCTAAGTACTACATTTGTGCGTATTCATCTTCCAAAGTTTAGCAGTGCGGTATTTCAGCTGAATTGACGGTTTCATCTGTGCAGGTTCCTCGCAAAACACCCCCATACTTCTCGGAGTTTGAACGAATGGTGAAGAGTATTACTCTCCAAGACGTTCATTTGCTTTTGCGATCGCTTGGTCTCCGCCGAGAGAGCATGTGGGAGGCCATCGGAGTGTCTGGCCCAGTTCCCGCAGCGGCTCTTTCTCGCCCTCCCACAAGAATCGTAGATGCCCCTGTAGCAGCGCCTTCGAGCACTAGGCTGCGCGCTTCAGAAATTGGCTATGTTGCCCCTGTGTGAGCCTAAGCTAGCGTGGCTGATACTGACAATTCTCCGAAGCTCCGAATCCGTTGCGATGCTCAGCCGGTGGAGCAGCTGTTATAGATTTCCTGTGCTTGAAGGCTTCTACCTGAGAGCGCAGCAGCACTATGTGCCTACAAAATGCAAGTGTATCCGTAGTTTTTTTATTGGCAGAGCGTAGCGGTTGCACTCGATTGGCCACCTGCCAGAAACACCCAGAGCAGGGCGGGCCAGCCGTCTCAGGCGGGCGAAAACTGAAGTTATGCTTGCCGTTTGAAACTAAGATGTGTTCTCGTCATTGATTTTTGTTTGGGTACGACA